TGAATACCAAGCTTGTTGGATTAATTCAAGATATCTTTCTTCATAACGAGTGACATTTGAAGTGCGAATTTTACATGAAATTCCTTGATTTGTGAGATATCTTTTGATATTATTCTTAGATTGTAAGTCCTTACTTTCAAAGATGATTAAACACCGAATACCTGGTCTTGTTGCCCAAAATTTCACTTGATAAATAGTTTCTCGAATTCGTTGTGTATTGGTTGTAAATGTAAAATAGATCTGTTCAATACCATATTGGTGAACAGGGGTGTTTATGGTTGACCTTATCGGCAGTTCTTCATAGTTGTCACTAAACTCTTTCAATAGCACTTTTCTGGTTGTTAGTCTTTTGTCATGAACTAATGCTTGAACAAGAATTTTTTTAGTTTGTTTTATCTTGCTGTCTAATCTTGGAATATCAACATCATCACAAGTATTATTCCTTTTCCCTTGTATACGATAAGTGAAGCATTTTAGACAATATACGCTGAAAACTAAAAAGGTTATTATGACGATTCGCTTGGATGAATGTCTCATACGATTTAATCTATTTGTTAACAAATATATCATTACGAATGTTGATTGATCAATAAAGATTATTCACTAAGTAGAATTAAACTTGGATTTATACAATATCACTTTGCCTTTATGGTTTTTACAATTATTGTGGTAAAGTACATACATTTTTGATCTTAAAAATAATCAGACACAGCGGAGAAAACATCTCTTATTTATAATACTCACTATCACATGTTAATTTCACACAAATCTATGCTCATGTTGGATGAAAAAAGAAAGTTGACTGCCTTCTATATTGCTCAAACGAATAGTCATGATTTTTTTCGTCTCTACATCAATATAAAAAATAAATTATTTTTTTTTTATCAACAAAAGAGCTGCTCGACACTAAAATGGCTTCATGTACAAGAATCAACATGTGAGTGAAACAATACGAAATTGATGTGTCTCACAAAGCTCTCAATTGGAAGTTGTATTCAAAGGCAAAACATGTCCAAGTCCTTTATTAAGTTATAGCTGCTATGTTAGTCTTTGTTTCGAACAAAGAATTTACCCTGTCGTTTGAAAAAAACGACGACCAGGTGTCAGCACGAATTCACATTGAAAAGAATGACTGCATTATTCCAGTTATCAATAATTGATCTTTTGAAAAGCGAGTAGTTATCATTTATGAATTTAAGAGACGTGGATCATGTGAAGCTTTGAATTTAAGCGTCTATCATGAGGCTTACACTTGTGTTTGTATTTGAATCTTGAGCCTCACTCAATTACATTGCGATGGCATACGCGAACGTACCTAAATTGCATCCAACAAATGCGCTTGATATGTATGGCTGATAAATGTTCATTCTTGTGTCATCGCTTCGAATTCATACGGGTATTTCGACTTAAAATAAAACGAGAATTTTTTCGAAATCCTACAATAAAATTGATGATTTTGTGCTCCTCCTTCCAACCATATCGTTTGGTTATGTTTTCTTAAAAACCACCATATAAATGGTAAGCTATAGTTTCAATGAACTCGTCAGTTATTACTGTAACGACTGTCATACTTTCGTTGACATCATTAATTCTCAAGTGAATTTTAAATTTAGTCATTGACATTAATGGAACGATTAATCTATCAACGATTTATATCGACTATTGATTAGTAGAAAGCTCTTGAAAAGTTTCACGAACAAACTATATGTATTGTTGACTGTCCAACCGTTCACATTGACTTTATGCAGAGCACATCGTTTACTACTACATTGAAGTTGTATTTTTTAACGATTATTTCTCGATACATGTTGCTGATTGTTTGATTTTGTGTGAACTTAGTTACTTGTATATTAGGAGATGGTTGAGATCTTTCTGAAGATGGTTTTGATCTAAGACATATCTTTAATTAAAAGATTCTAAGAAAGATATTAATAAATAAAACACTTTACTTCTGAATGACAGAGCTTAAATAGAAACTAATAATCAGCATTATGCATGTAATTTAACTAATAGAAAAACTATACTTTTTCGATATTCGACTACAATTTGCTACCTAATTAAGTACTTTCATATTTATAATATTTCTCACAACACTCTGTAATCTCCACTACTAAATCTTATTGATGTAAATTCAAATTTTATTTTTGATTTCTGAACACTACATTTTTCTCAAGAGCTCTATTATGAAGAAATGTTGTATTTTAAAAGCGTCCAAGTGCGAGCTCTCGGACGATTCCTTTCTTGATAAACGCAGTAAATTCATCCAAATTGAGTTTATAGTCGTTGTTTGTATCAGCCACTTGAAAATAACGGAGAAGCATATATGAATTTGAATTAGGTACAATGGCGGGCATAAACACGGCAAGTTCGCCAATATCAATAGTATCTGAATTATCAGTGTCTAATAGGCGAAATGCTTCAGGTATATCTTCGGCTGCATGATGTCCCATCAGTAAGGGCCGTGTCACTTTCGTGAAGTCATCAAATGATAACGTCGGCTTCTTAAGTGTAGCAGCTAGTCGTTCAAATTCTTCTTTCTTGACACTAACACGATGTTGACGTACTTTACCATTAGCATGAATTTCGTCGAACACATACTCGGCTTCAGTAATTTGATTACCCTTTCGATGTAAAATTTCACGAGCACGAATTCGATAATTGTCACCCATTATAAATTAGAAACCTAGTTAGAGTATTGTAAAGAGACCGCATTTGCTTACATGATCACGTACCTGTCTTAACGGAAATGTTGATAAAAGCAATTGATTAAAGTTGTTACTAATGTTCTGATGAAAATGAGACAAAAACACACAACAACAAATGTCTTATATAGTTATTTTTTTTTCTTCTGGGACTTTTATGGCTACTAACTACACGATTCACAATACAACATTGTTTTGATAAGAGAGTAACGAAACGAGAGATATTTCACCAATGTTGTGCACAGCTTCTTACTTTATACACTCTATGTAAAAAATGGACATAGGAGTTTTAGTTTTCTGTATAGTACAATCTCAAAACTTCATTATGTATCATATTCAAACGATAATTATCATCTGTTCAGATTTTCTTCGTCATTCATGGTTATTAACATAATGGTGTGAGCGTAGCTTTTTTTTACCGTTTCTTCGCACTCTTTGTTTTATTGAGGGATAGTTTTTTTTTTGTAATTGAAAAGCAACTAAATAAATTTATTTGGCCAAAGGCCTGCCGTTTGAAAAATTGCTATCTATAGGCGTTGATATTTTCATTAGAAATCAAAACAATGTTGTTGCGCTTTCTCTTTTCTTTAGATCAAACACCGAGCTACACAAATGTATATCTCTTGTTATTAAGTCAGAATATGTCATAGAAATTGTTGCTGATTGTAGAAGTTCATATTGTATAGTTTTACTAAAATTTCAGAACTCTCTAATAACGTTTTATGATTAGATGGGGCTATGGTTTTAATAGAGCACAAATAATAATGAAATCACGATTAGTTTTTTGTCAATTAAACTATGAATAAAAAGATCAGATGGAATAACTTTTGTATGTCATTATGTGAAGCTCAACTATTTCACACCTTTCACTCAGCTATTAATGCCTATTGAGTACATGAGTCAAAGAACAACATAAATGCATCAGTCCTCGGAATTGCTATATTGCCAAGTACTGTCAAAAACAGAATTATTTATTGCTACAGCTACCAGTCGTATGGTATACGATTAGGCTCGGTGTCGGATATCGAAGATGAATAAGGTGTTCATCAAAGGGGAGACAGCTGACGTTTTTTTTAAATTTTAATCAGTTTTAAATGAATTACATCATTTTAATCAAACTTATCACTTTAATCAAAGAAATGAATGCAAACAATCAACTTTTCATCTTTTTTCTCTAAAATGTGTTATCTTATTACATTATTGATATTTATCCAACGTATTTTTTGACTGTAAGCAGGGGCCGCGCGAAGGATCTAAGATTGGGGGGGGGGGGGGGGTGTAGCGGGTTTTGAAAGGATGTAAACATTTTTTGGGGGGTGTAAAAGGGTATCTAGAGCAAAATTTCTTAAAAAGAACATAAAATTCGTTCCAAATCTGCTCCCGTCTCTGGAAAAAACAAAAATTTCCAATTATTGGTGGGGGAGTGTACACCCCTCCGCTCGCGCGGCTCCTGCTGATATTGAAATAGTTGATGCTATTATTCAATCCGGCATTGATACATTATTAATGTTTATTTGTTCTTAATAGAATATTCAGATGGCTCAGATAATATAAACATGGTAATGATGCTTGTCCATATCTAAATAAATATTCTAGTTGTTTTTCTCATCATTGACTCATCGGTTGTCTTTTATGTGATGAATAGGAAAATCGAATTGAGTTGAATTTTCTTAAACATTTCTATGATTATCTTAATAAGTAAATTATTGAACTCAATGAAGACAGATCTATCTCAATTGGATAAAATTTTGATAATTTTATGCATGACAATGTTTACATAGATTTTGTAGTTGATGCATTTATCTATGTCGATCGATGAAGCATGACATGATTTTTTTTTAAAATTTTGTTAGTTCTGAGAAATATTTTAAATGAAAATTGTAGAAAATGATCATAGACAACGTAACAATAAAGATAACTAGACAAGAACCTTTCTAGATGTCGAAAATTTTCAAAAGACTACCATCGATTTTAATATCGTGGTAGCTGCTCAATCGATTGTCTTACAAACAACCAAGAGAAAAAGTCTATTTCATCATTTTGTTCATTTCAAATAATATCTAAAATGACTGTGACTACTCGAATGAGGAGGAACAAATGATTGTTATCTTCCGAAGTAACTTATAATGGGAAAATCATGAACTGTGATTCATTGGTCAAGCAATAACTATTTGAACAAATCGCGATTTTTTATAAAGTTTGATCAAAAATATTCATGATTGAGGAATTGAAATCTGAAATCGATAATGTTTATTAAGTGTTCTAAAAAAAGGTTTCATTACACCAATAAATCAATTAATCAAATTCGAGAAACTGATTATAAATTTGAATTGATGGAACCTGGCCAAAAACCTTTCATAACACTATATAATGTGTCAATTATTTGGAAAAGTATTTCATTGATAATCTCATAAGTTATTGCTTACTGATAATTTGCCAGTTGTAATATTAACTATTAAGATTAGCTAGAACATTTTTCTTTATTACTCAAACAAAACAAAAGACTGATTTCAAGTAATTGAATTGATTTATGAGATTGACTACCTTGCCAAATGACTGAATGCACAAAAACAAAAGCTCTATTCGAAACAAAACTCAATATGTTATATTATAGAAATGGAATTAAAAAATCATTGTGAAAAACAACAAATTTTTCATACTTTCTAAAAGAATAGATGTACGAAGCAAAAAAATTCCCATTATTCTTATAAGTAGAAGTATCGACCAAGATTGAATTTAAAAAAAGAAAATATGAAAAATAATTGTTCTGATAAGATATATTCATCAATGAATAAAAAAGATCTTTTTATGTTACTATTGATAAAAATAATTATTTTATGAAATAAATGTGAATGATACTAGCAAATTATATATATTTTAACAATTAGAAAATATTGTTTAATAGAATTTCTTTATATAAAGTTCTTCTTTTTATTTATTTTCGAAGAAAAAAAATTCAACGATATAAAACGAAACGAAATAAATCATTGAATATCTTCATTATTTTCTTGTTGTTGAATCGACAATGGTTTCATATATCCATTTCGGATAAACACTTTTATAGAGATTCATAAATACAGTATCTTGTGAATTAAATATTTCATCAAATAGACATTTCATATGACTATGTGTACCTTTATATTAAAATAAATTTTATCTTTATATTTAATTAATAAATAACAATACAGAATTAAAAAAAACATATATCGAGTAACAGATAATCTTTTATGAATTTTAAATGGATGTCCACTTAATAATAGTCTTTTTAATATAATACGATCATGATTAACTGAAAGAAGAGAATCAGTTGCTACTAATTCTTGACGACCTTTATCTAACAAAAAGCAAAATTAAGTTTTTTTTTTTTTAATTTAAAAGATCGAATAAAATATCATCAGGAGATTGTTTAAATGCCAAAATCGATGCAGGTGGATATGTTATTGGATCAAAACATGTTGCAATAAGAGTTCGTCGTGACCGAAAAAATCTTTCAAACTAATTTAAAATATTCTTATCTATATTAATTATTATAATAATCAATTAGTAATAAACTTTATGTTTATCTGAATTTGAATGTTGAGAATAAATCGGTGAA